CAAACCGGAACTTTTTTACACCCCTAAGGATTAGTTTTTTTAAGAAATATGGATTGGCTTTCCCCGATTGGCCTTCCAAAATTCTCAAAATTTTCGCCTGCGGCGCAAGAAAATGAAGAAATCTACTACTTGGTCACACAAATTCACAAAATTTTCGCCTGCGGCGCTTAAAAAGGAAGAAATTTGTATCCTTGGTTCACCTAAAATCCCAAATTTTCGCCTGCGGCGCTATGAGGGGAAGTTGTATGGTAAATAGAAGGATTTGGATGGATGAAGGTGGATTTTGAGTTACATTATGTGAGTTCAAGGGGTTATAGGTAATATAGAGGGATTTGGGTGTGATGTCCAGGGAATGAGCTGTGCAAGTTAGATATCAGGGATTGAATAGCTGGGGATTTGGTCTTCCAAAACTTGGATTTTTTTTCGTTTCGATTAACAGAAGAATTTGGCAGAATTTAATCGAAAAATTTGGCGAAGCCGCACCCCTACTTAAAATAAAAATTTTTTAAAATGTGCTGGCAAAAATTTTTTTAAAAGTTCCGGTTCCGGTTCCGGTTCCGGGCCGGAACTTTGAAAAGTTCCGGTTCCGGTTCCGGGAACCGGAACTTAAATTGGATCCGGTTCCGGTTCCGGTTCCGGTCAAAATTTCGGTTCCGGTGAAACACTAATATTTATTCCTCGAAAAGGGTCTTTTTTGAGTTTATTAATTAATATTTTTTATTGGCTAAAAATGCGCCTTAGGTCACCATAAAATTTTAATTATGAAAAAAGAGAGAATATTCTGATTTAAAATTTAGAAATTAATGACTACTTTCTCTTTGTTTAATTCAATCGTACTTGAATTTAATTAATTAATCTGACAACAATTATTTAACAACAATTGCCATTAAAATTAATTATTTTAAAAAATCCCAGACTTTTTTAAATAAAACAACTGTTTTTATTTTTAATAAAATTGACTAAAAATATTTTTATTGAAGCTAAATAAAAATGTTTATGACATCACTTTCAGGTGAAAACTTAATTTGTAAAATTAATCTGTTATAAATATTATGAAAAAATAAATTTGTCATATTTTTAACCTACATATGTACATATTTTTTAAAAATTAAAAAAATTCTTTTAAGAAATTAAGTCATCAATTTAAAATCCCTAAATTTTATTTATTTTTAAATTTATTTTTATTCTCTCAAAAAATCAGTTTTTGACATTTTTAACAAAAATATTTTTAGGAATATATTTTGATTAGAATTAATGATAAGTAAAACAATTAAAGATAAAAATTCCAAAAGAATGAAAAAATAAATTTTTTTTTGAGTAGAGGGGAATTTTTTTTAATTTTGAGTAGAGGGGAAATTTTAATTTTAAAATTTTAAAAAAAATTATTTTTTATTTTATAAATTCTTTAAATTTTAAATTATTGCCACACATATTCAGTTTAAGATGATTATTTAAGTAAAGATATTAAACACATATTTTGTTAATAATATTTAAAAAAATCCAAAAAACAATGTGAGGACTAATTGTAAAGAAAACAAAAAAAATAAGGAAAAGGAAGAAAAAAATTAGGTAAAATTGAGGAGATACAAAGTTCATTCCTAGTATTCTTTTTAAAAACAAGTCCAATCCATGTCCATTAAAATTAGAGTGCATCGAGAGCTAGCTAGACCGAGATCTCGGTTTTCCTCAGTTTTCTCGGTTTTTCCCTATTTTCTTCTTTCCTTTCAAAAATTTACTCTCTGTCTCGGGTTTGTTAAAATTCTCGAATTAAAATAAAGTTTTTAAGGAAATGTAAGAGACTTCCAAGTATTTTCATTCAAAAACTTCTTCGAACTACATACTTTTTTAATAGCTCTGGGATGGAGGGTGGAGGACATTAAGTAAGCTAGTGTTTGTTTCCCCGGAGATAAAAAAGAAGAAAAAATTAAAAGAGGAGAACAAACACAAAAATATATCTAAAGTGTGTGTGATAATTGTGTAGAAATAATCATGTTCTTCTTCTTCTTCAATTTTTTCTTCTTAATCCATTCATTTTTTATTTTCCTCTCTCTCAAATCTCATGCTTAAATTCCAAAGTCCTCCCTCCCTCCTTTAATTCTAACTGCCCTTTTCCCAAGAATGTTCTTCTCACCACCCACCACCCACCTCTTTTTCTTCTCCTTTTCTCTCCCGTGTAAATTAACAAATAATTTTATGCTATATTTAATTAAATAAACCTCAACTTATTTTTAAGATTATTTAAAAATTAAAATTAATTTTTATTAAAAATAAATTAAGCTGAAAGATTATTTTAAATTATTCTTTTTATTAATCTTCTTTTCAAATATTTTCATTAAAATTATTTAATTAAAAAATGTTTGTTTAAAATATTAAATGTTAAAAATTTTTATTTTAAAATTTAATTTTTTCAATAAAATATTTAAAAAATTCAAACTAGAAAATAATTAAAAATTTAAAAATTTAAAAATAAAAAAATTCTTAATATTTTTTTCATTTTCAAAACGTGTGTTTTGTTACATTTTTATTTTTCGGTTATCCACTTAAATTATTTTAGCTTTATTTTTTCTTTTATTTTCTACGTAATCGGAAATCAAAATACAAAATAAAAATAAATTATATTTTAACTTTTGCTTAAAATAAATATATTTATTTTTAGTTTATTTCTTAATTTAAAAAGCAATAAAAATAACGTATTTTAATATTAACAATTAAATATATTTTTTTAATTTTTAAAATAATTAAAATACACACATTTGTGTTATGTTTTGTTTCTTTTTTAAAATATAAAACACAAAAAAAACTTTTAAAAAAAACTTTTTTTAATAAAAAATAATTATTAATGCATTAATTTTTGAGTATTTCTCTAAAATTATTTCAAAAAAAATATTTTTAAATTTAAATTTTATTTTTAGAAGATTCAAACGAAAGTAAAGGAAATAAAGAAGTTAACAAAGAAAAAGATACTCCCCCTCCACCTATTAATTTTAAAATTAAAAATACACAAACAAAGGACGAAGAAAATAATAATAATATTCTCCAACAATCAGCAGAAAAGCGCAGATGTCAATCCTTCAAGGAACAAAAAGAGGAGGAGAAAAGCGGTGATGAACCAACAAAAAGACGCGATTCACTTTGGATGTAAGCCAAAATTAAATTAAAATTATTATTTTTTAAATATTCCCTTTTTATTTTTAATGAAATTTTTGGGAATAATTTAGATTTAAATTTATTTTTAATATTTAAATTAATCAATTTTGTCCTTCCCTTTCCATTGTTTATTTGTTAGGAAAATTTTATTTTTAGGGACAAGAATTAAGCAAATATTAATTGTAATATAAACAATCAAATTGGAAAAAAATCTATTTTTTTTCTTCTCTATTATTTTTAAAATTCTCAACAAAACCTAACAGACAATAATTTTTCTAGAAAAATATTTAATAAATAATTTTAAATTTAAAATTTAAAATAATTTTAAAAAAATTATCAAACATAAATTAAAAAAAATTATTTAAACAGTAGATAATTTTTTTAAAATTTTATTTTTAGTATTCACGTCATTTATTCTAAATTTAAAATAAAAAACGCGTGCTTTGGAATTTAGCATTATTCACAACATAAATTTATTTCAAAAAATTTTTTGCTAAATTTTATTAAAAAATGTTTTAATTTTAAAAAAAAATATTAATTAATTTTTTTAATTTCAAAAGGTCAATGGGCATTCATCGAACAGAAGAAGCTCGTCAATCTATTCGAAAACGAAGACTCTCTCGAAATCGGGAATCTCTTGAAATTGGAGGAAATACAAACAATAATAATATGATCACAAATCCACAATCTACAGCATTGACTGTAGATGAAATGGGTAGGGAAAATGTTTTTTGAAATATTTTTAGGGTAAAATTGAAGGAAAACCCCCCAATTTTAAGTCAATTTTATATTTTGAGTTCCTAAAAATAAAAGAATTTTAAGGAAAAACTGTGATCTTTATCCTTCTATAATTTCCCTCCTCTCCCCAAAAAAAAGCTTTCAAAAATAAAAACTTCCTTGTAATTCTTTCAAATTTTTCTCCTTAAAAATGAAAAAAAATGTTAAATTGGATAGAATGACGCAAAAATGTAAAAAAATCGGTTAAGACTGATGAAAAAATAAGAAAAAAATTTTTCGAAAGATGAGAGAGACAGACTACCTACTAGACTATTTTTTGGCACTTTCTTTTTTTATTTTCTTTATTTTTTTCTTGGCTAATGGAAAAAGGCCAAAATGCGTCTAGGGAAGGCTTTACGTATTAAATAAATATTGACTGGATTTGTGAAAAGAGAAGAATTTTTGTTGTTAAATGACTTTAAATAAAAACTTTTTCTTTATTTTTTTCTGTTCATTTTCTTCCTGTAAATTCCATTCCATGAAAAAGCTTAAATAAAAAAATTAAAAACAAAAAGTTCCCCCTTTAAAATAAAAAAAAATAAAAAAATCTTCCTCTCTTTGCACACACAAACAAATCCAGTCAATAATAGTCTAGCAGCACTATTTATTTAAAAACACGAAGCTTTTGGCGACTGGTAGATTGCGGTTTTTAAAGGAAAAACAGGGAAAGGGTCATCCCTAGGATGGCTGGCTTTTAAGCCATTTGTCAATATTTTGACTACAACTATTAATATTTTATTTAATTTATTTTAATTATTAAATTATTTTAATTAATAATATTTTGCTTAATAATTACAAAAATCTCATTTTTAAGGGCTTCTTTATAAGTAATATTAAATTTTTGTTACATTATTTTATTTCCTTGCTAGTTTTCTTTTTAATTAGCAATTTTTAAATTATTTTTGAGTAATACAAGACGAGAATTATATCTTTAATATTTATAATAATCATCTCTTTATCTGTCTCAAAGGCTTCAAAGTCTTTTATTCAAAGTCACCAAGTCTTTCAAATTTCCCTCCTTCTTCAATAATATTTTTTACAAATTTTTAGCAAATTTGGCTCCCGGAACTCGTATAATGTTCCTTTTGGGTGAACAAAGTGAGGCTCCTGCCGTTTTTACTGAAATGGGCGAACTTTGGCGTAGTGGGGATGTTGAGGAATGGAGAGAAACAGCTAGATGGGTTAAATTTGAAGAAGATGTTGAAGAGGGGGGCAATAGATGGTCAAAGCCGCATGTTGCTACTTTGTCTTTACATGCTCTATTTCAATTACGGTTCTAATGAATTTTTATTTAAAAAATTATTTTGTTTAGTTCATGTTTACTTCATGGAATTATACTAATTGATTCTGAAGCAGAATCAATGCCAGAATTAATTGGTGTGTTAATAATTGAATAATTATTTTAAAATAAAATTATTTTAGAACACATTTTGGACGAATTTGTAGCCAAAAACGATTTGCAAGAAAGTGAAAAAATGGCGGTGCGTTATGTTCTTTCTCGACGGCATACTCATCAATACGAGCAGGTAATTATAATTTTTACACATTTCCCACAAATATATTTTAATTTTTATCCCCTTTATTTAATTTTAATTAGCCTTGTATTTAATTTAAGTTAGTATTTCCGCTATAATTTTTTAATAAGAATTAAATTTTTTCTGTTTTCAATTTTTATATTCTAATAAACAATTTTCTAGGCTCGTCATTCTGGTGGGAGTTCAAATGGTGCATCAAGTAGCCAAGGGAGTTTCTTAAACGCCGTTCGCTCCATTTCGGATATAGGACGTTCATTTTCTCATGGCAAAAATCTCCATCAAAAAGGTCAAGAAGAGAATTTACAAGGTGGTGGAGACAGCACAACACAAAGCCCCGTTACTAAAAAGCCGCAATTTGGTCCTCAACTTGACCTTCCTAAAGTGAATTTAAATAAATATTTAAAAAAAATAATCAGAATATATTTAAAGGTTGGGTCTCTCCCTAAAGACATACAAAAAGAAGGCTCTCAGAATAGTGAATTCTTCGGTCGAAATACCCATTTTATGAAAAAACTTCCTCCTGGAGTTGAAGCTTCAAATGTTTTGGTTGGAGAGGTAAATTTAAATTGAGAGAAATTTAAATATTTTATTAAAACCAGTATTAATTTGGTTCCAAAATATTCAGTTCCTTTTTACTGTTCCTCGGCCGGAATAATACATATTAACAGTATTAGATGATTTTAATTATGATGGAATACTCTAAAAGATTTAAATTTTTATTTTAATTATAATTAAAATTCCTTCAATAAATTTCAGGTTGAATTCCTCAGTCACCACATAACAGCATTTGTTCGACTTAAAAAGGCACAATTACTTGGAGATCTAACAGAGGTGCCTGTACCTACCCGTTTTCTCTTCCTCCTTCTTGGACCGTCAGGGCATGCTGCCCAATTTAAGGAAATTGGTCGAGCGATTGCTACTTTAATGAGTGACGAGGTGAAATTAAATAATTTAAAAAATCATTGATACTTACATATCGGTTATCCTTAATCACTCTTGTGGACTGTAATTTTTAATTAGAAATTTTTGAAATAAAAGGATTAACTTTAAATAAAAAACATGATCTGTTTAGAATGGGTCATTTTTATTAAAAATATTTTTTAAAAAATCCGAAAAAGTAATCATCGGAAGAATTTTTATTTCAATGAAATTAGGTCAAAATTTTTAGATATTCCACGAAGTTGCCTACAAGGCAAAACAACGTTCGGATTTGCTAGATGGTGTTGATGAATTCTTAGATGCAGTAACCGTTTTACCGCCCGGCGAATGGGATCCGAGGTAGGGAATTTTTTGTTAATATTTTTAATTGAATAATTTAATTTTTCAAAAAAATATAAAATTATTTTTTAAATTTATAGCATTCGAATTGAGCCTCCTAGTACAATTCCTAATCAACAAAGCCGTATTCAAGTTTAATATTTTAAAATAATTATATACCTAAAATAATTATTAGCAAAAGCCCTCAGCTATAAGTGACAAATTTGTCTGCAATAAATTATCAGGAGCTAGTACAGGCGATCCCACTTCTGGATTACCTGGCGGGAGTAATGGAAAGGATTTGGGTGGCATTGGAGGTTCTAAACTTGCTTTAGCCAACGGGAAAAAAGTTTGAAAAAATAAAATTATTTTTTAATTTTATTAATTTCAGACTAGTTTGGAAGAAGAGGACGGTCACGGTCAAGATCCTGGTTTACGCAGAACTGGGAAATTGTTTGGGGGTTTAATGTTAGATATTCGGTGTGTTAAGTTAAAAATTAAAAATAAATTTAAAATTTTTAAAGTCGGAAAGCCCCGCATTATTTATCCGATTTTACTGATGCGTTAAACCTTCAATGTATAGCAACTACTTGTTTTATGTATTTTGCACTGTTGGCCCCAATTGTAACTTTTGGTGGTCTTTTAGAAGAAGCTACTCATCAAAGAATGGTTATTTAATTAAAGAATATTTGGGAATTTAAAATTCTTTTAAAGGCAGCAATGGAGAATTTAGCTAGCGGTGCAATCTGTGGCATCATATATCACTTGTTCAGTGGCCAGCCTCTAACTATAATTGGCTCTACTGGGCCTGTACTTGTTTTTGAAACAATTGCCTTTGATATTTGCAATGTACTAATAAAAATATTTTTAATTAAATTAAATTCTTTTAAAAAAGTCTCTTTCAATTGACTACCTCTCATTTCGATTTTGGATTCATGTATGGACTGCTTTAATTATTTTTATAATGGTTGCAACAGATGCATCTTCTTTAGTATCATATATTACTCGATTTACTGAAGAGTCTTTTGCAATGCTTATAGCAGTCATTTTTATTTATGAAGTGATTTTTAAAATTTTTTTAAAATAATCTAAAATAATATCTACTTTCTAAGGCTTGCATGAAACTTTTTATGATTAAAGACCAACTGGATGTTATTAGGTTTAGATATATTAAATAATTTAATTTAAAAATATGCCTATAGTTATATACCTCCAAACGAGCCAATACCTGTTGGAGAAGAATGTCATTGTATTTCAACCGGTGCACCTTTCGCCAAAGTTCAGGCTATAGCTGCTAAACGTCACTTTACTTTATTACCGACAAATAACAGTTCGGGGCAAATGGAGATTGACTATTCGCTTATTCCGTTGGGTAAATGTAAACAATTGTTGGGGCAATTAGAAGGAAGTACTTGCTATATTTTACATGACAAGTTGCTTATGAGCATTGTCCTTATGGTTAATAAATATTTAATTTTAATTTGAAGAATATTTCCTTAAATTATTTACTAATTTTTTAAACAACAGATTGGAACATTTTTTATGGCTATAACTCTAAAAAGAATGAGAAACAGTCGTTATTTCCCTACAAAAGTTCGTCAAATTCTTTGTGACTTTGCAGTAATGATTGCAATTATTTGTATGACATTACTTGATATTTTTGTTGGAATTAATACACCAAAATTGAATGTGCCATCTACTTTTAGAGTTTTTAATAATTGAAATAAAAATATTTAAAACCCCTACTTTTTAGCCAACTTGGTCAGGACGTGGTTGGTTTGTCCCTCCTTTTGGCTCTAACCCTTTTTGGACAATACCTTTTGCTATTTTCCCTGCATTGTTGGCTTGTGTTTTAATTTTTATGGATCAACAAATAACTACTGTTATTGTTAATCGAAGAGAAAATAAATTGAAAAAAGGTGTCGGAAATATTATTTTTTGAAAGAAAATGTTTGTATTTTTTTAAAGGTTGTGGCTATCATCTTGATTTGCTTGTTCTTTCAATTCTTATTATAATTGTTGGTGCTTTGGGGTTGCCAATTTATGTAGCTGCTACTGTTCTCTCAATGAACCATGTCAACTCATTACGTGTTGAAAGTGAAAGTAGGGCACCTGGGGAAGTTGCACAATTTATTGGTGTTAGGTGTGCTTTATTAAAAATTTTAATAATTATACAATATTAACATTATTAAGCATTATTTTTAATGATAAAAATTTTTCTTAAAGAGAACAACGTTTAACTGGCATTTGCACTTTCCTACTTATCGGTCTCTCCGTTACAATGACAAAGTTACTCAGTCACATCCCAATGCCTGTACTTTATGGAGTTTTTCTTTATATGGGTATTTCTGCATTGGGTGGAATTCAATTATTTGATCGTTTCTTATTAATGGTAAACAGTTAAATTAAAAAATTATTTATTTACTTGTCCTTTAGTTGATGCCAATGAAATACCAACCGGACACCATCTACATACGCCATGTTCCCATCCATGTCATTCACAAATTTACATTATTCCAAATAGCCTGTCTGGCATGCTTATGGCTGGTTAAGTCGATTAAAGCAACTTCTATGACATTTCCTATTATGGCATGTTTTTAAATAAATGAACATTTTAACCTTTTTTTAAACTTAAGTTGGTTGTAATGGTAGCCGTTCGAAAATTAATGGAGCGTTGTTTTTCTGAGAAAGATTTGAAGTATTTGGACGATAAAATGCCAGAATTTCATTTGCGCCGAACTGAGGATAAACAAAAACGTGAATCACATGGGGGACAGACAATTGACATTGATTTGGATGAGAATCAAGGAACGATTAGAGCAGTGAAGACTGAGGCTCATTTACACATACCTATGACATCTGGAAATGTTAATTTGTTTATTAAAACAAATAATTTTTTAACCAAATATTAGTTCAGGTCATCAAAATCCCTTTGGCGGCAATCCAAGAACCAACACCTCCTTCCCACAATATCAACATCAGCGAAGCAGTCTGCCAAACAGGAATGTGGCGTTCTATTGCTAGCGAATCAAAATCATCCTTGCAAAAAATTGGAAAAGATGGAGAAGTGAGGGATTCAAAGTCGCCGAATCCAAAGAGAGAACAGAGCTCTTCTGGTCCAATTACTAAATCTCCCTCTCCAATGACTGCAACTGTCCATTGTGAACGGTGTGGAATTAAAATAAAAAATTATTAATAATTATTCTATAAAGTTTAGAAATACAATAATTAGGGATCGGATTTTGACAAAATTAAAATTTTGACTGAATCTCGATTGAAATTTGAAAAATTTTAACTTTTGATTTTGACCTATCCCTAACAAAACCTGTATATTTAGATAGTCGAACCTCATTTTTAGCTACCCAAAAAATTAAGTATTTCTTGATTTAGGTTATGTTTTTTAAAAATTTGTTAGTAGAAGCTGCCTAAGCGATATGTACTCCCAATTTAGTACTTTTATCTGCTGTGAATTCCAACCCCAAAAACTACCTATATGTTAAACTTTAATATAATTTTAGAAATTTATTTTTATAAATATTTAGAAAAGAGACGGGCTCACCTCGACTTGCAACTCCTGAGGAAGATGATGATCAGGCAATTACAATCACTGTTGGGAATGCTGCAGTAAATGCATCAAACAGTGAGCAGCAACCTCTACTCCAACAACGTGCAGGAAAGGGCAAAGACAAACAGCAACATTTAATGGGATCTCCTGTTTAAAATTAGCATTTTCTAAATATTTTAATTTCTTTCTTCCTCATTTTTCCTTTTCTTTCAATTATTCTCATTAAAAAATAAAATTATTAGTTTTAAACAAGCAATATTAAAAATTCTGAAATTTAATAACAATTTAATGTTAAAGTTTAATTGAAAATACAAATCAGAATTTAAATTTTTATAACGGAATTTTCAGAGTTTTTGTCTTTTCCGGATATGTTATATTCTTTTAATTCTTTTTAATTCCAGAAAATATTTTTTAAATTTCGATTTCTATACTAAAATATTATTTTCTGGAATTCCCTCTAATTTCCTTTAATTAAATTTTATTTTTGTATTTTTTGGATATTTTATTTTTTAAATTTAATTACGCATTTTCACTCCCACACTTTTTAACTGCCTTTTTAAATTTAAATTTTTTACTTTTTTTCTACTGACTTTTTGAAGTTATCATCTGAAACAGATTTGGTGTTGAAGCATTTTATACTTTAATTTTTTGATTATTAAACAAATAAGAGATTATTTAAAGTAAAAATTTAAATTATAAGGTAAAATCTATCCCAGTGATTTTAATTTTTTATATTATTTTTTTTCAAAAAGTTTATTTGTAATTTCGGGGTTAATTACTTCCCTTTTTTGAATTTATTTGTTTTTATTTTTTGATAAAAATTTAATTAAACATTTTTTATTTAATTTACATACTCTTCATAGTTTGAGAAGAATAACTTTTAATTGAAGATCAGTCAAATCAATCAGTCAATCAAATATTAAGTAAATATTATTTTAATGGGAATAACTGCTGTATTTTGTAAAAATTTGCCTGATGCTTGCCTATTTTGACTGCAAATTTTTAATGATTTTAACAAAATTTGACTTTATTCCCCTAAAACTGATGAATTTATAACAATAATTGTAGTTATTATTTTAAATAATATTAATTAAACATATAAAACAATTTTATTTAACGATAAGAAAGGCAACTGAAAATGTAATAGATACACTTCATAGTTTTAATATTATTTTTATTTTTTATTATTTTCATTACTTCCTTATAATTATTTTTAACAAAGTTTTAAATTTAAAAAATTTTAAATAAAAAATTTACATTTACATAAAATTATAATTTTATATCCATAATTATTTTTTGTTCAAGTACCACATGCGCCACATTGTTGACAGTCTCAAATTAATTTTTATTAGAATATAAATATTTAAATTTATTTTAAAATAATCATATATTTATTGAAATAAGATAAAAAGTATTTTAATAATTATTTAATTAAAAATATTTGAATTTAATCGAAAAACAAATTTTTATTTTTAAAATTATTTCTTAAAATAATTATTGCTCTAATACTTTCTCCTAATGGTAATTGAACCCTGCCTACGAATATTTATAATTATTTTGATTTTATATTATAAAAAGTTAATTATTATTTTATTTGAATATTAGCATTATTACTTTATTTTAAATGCTAATTGCATTTTTTTCTCATTGAGTCGAGAACGATAGATTTTGATGTAAATTTGTTATTCGGATATGCTAAAAGTTTGAAGTCATAGTTTAAGTGTTGTTTAACAAATTGCAGTAAGTATAATTAATTACTTGATTAAAAATAAATATTTTTTAAATTATATATATATTTAATATCCCTTATATATGTATTGGCGAAATTAAGTTTACATTCTGTTTGTTTCGAAGAAATATTTAAATATATTATGTATTTCTGAGTATTTTTATTTTAAAATTATTTTTCTAAAATTTCTAATTAAATAATAAATTATTTAAAATAAATCTCTCAATTATTTCATTCCATACTCCTTTAAAAGACTAAAATTATTTTACAAAACAATCAAAAATTTTATTAAAATAAACAAATTATTTTTAAATTTTTTGAAAAATTTTGTTTATTAAAATCTCTTCTGTATTTAATAAATATTTTAAAGTTTTGTTTCACTGATTATTAATGGTTATTCGTGGGGAATAAATAATTTATTTAAAATTAATTTACAAATATATTTTAATTTATAAATTTAACTTTTATTATTTAATATTTGTTAATTAAACAATTATTTTATATTAAATCGTTTTATTTTAAAATATACATATTTTCTGATAATCTCGAGTTGTCCATAACACGAATATGTCAGTAGATTTTAAACAAATTCACGAGACTTTTCTCATTAGATTTATCAATATAATTTTATTATTTACTAAATTAATTTAAAGAATTATATTTTAAAATAAATTTAATTCTGTAATCGCCCATTTCGAGGGCTCCATTTGTGTAGAACATATATAAAACTTGTCTTTAAGTTCAAAATATTTTTCTAACTTGAAAGCATTTGTAAACATTATTTGTTTAAATTATAGTTATATTAAAAATACGTTATTTTAGAGAGTATTTCTAAACTCTAAAATTTCTTCATTTGGAGAAAATAACATATATTTTGCATAAAATCATAATATATTTGCATATCATTATAAATATAAATTGAAAAATGAAGTTTATTTATTTATTTAATTTAATTATTTTTAAAATATTAATTAATGATATTATTTTATTAAATTATTTGTGTTAAATATTTGAATTTAATTATTTTTAAATAATAATCACGATGCTGAGGTTTATCCTCTCGATTCCAAAGGAAAAAATTTTTTGTATAAAATAATTTTTTGAAAATAATTATTTTTTAAATTGAAAAAATTTTAATTAATTAATATAAAATAATTGATATTTAGTTTCGTTGGTATGTAGTCAGCAAGAAATTGAGAAAATAATTATAATTAATTTCTGTAAATATTGTTGAGTATTTATTAAATATACATAGTATTTTATTGTATTAATCTTTTAAATAAAATTGCTGAACCTCCAAACCAATTAAAATTTAATAATCATTTTAGCCCGCAACATCTAACAATATAAAGAAAATTAGAATATTGTTAATTTCTGAGGAATTTTACAAGTATTTTTTCAATAAAAATTTTTATTTTAATATTTTTTAAGTTATCATTTCTTCCTTTAATATAATCTAAATAATTATGTAGGTAATATTTATTTTATAATAAAATTTGTCTACTAAAAATTCTTATTTGTCATATGAAGCTTTAATTATTTTATAAATCATTTACTGGCTTCTATTAAATTAAATTTATTAAATTACAAAACTAGTTTGTTTATTTAAATTAATTCTTAATCAATTAGAATGCCTGAGTAATACATACTAATATTTTAATTTATTTTTTATTTAACCCAATTTGGTAGAATCCTCAATTATTTTAGAAAACATCTCTTGAAGTGCATTATTTACCATTCTTCAACCTCTATTCAACTTCTAATGTTGCATTTTTGTTCGAATTAAACTTTAAATTAATAAAATAAACTAAACTTTAAATTAATAAAATAAATAAAGTTGACATAAAATTCGAGGTTTGATAAAGATATAATTTTGGGGGAAAATGAATATTATTAAATAAATATAATGTTTTGATACGAGCCTCCATTTTCAAATTTTTCTGAATCTCGTAATTGTTTTTAACACATTATTTTTTACTTTTAAAGCATTCTATAACTTATTTTATTAAATATAAATATGTAGGTATATTTTATTTTTTAATATTTTTTAAATTATCCTCCTTTCTAAACAATTTAAATAATATTTGTTTGCATTAAATAAATAATTATAATATAACTAACTCCAATTATTCAAGAGACAAAAATATATGTATACATATACCATCATTTTTTGATTAGATTATTAACGTCGATCAGATATCAAAATTAACTGATTATTAATTATTTTTTATCTAAATTTGTTGGTGTGAGCTCCGGTCACAGAATTTTTGAAAAAAAAATCAATAAAATTGTATAAATAATTCTAATTTAATATCATTTACATTAATATTTAAAAAACAAACAAAATTATATATTAAATTGTTTTGTTTAAATTCAAATAATTATTATTCTACCAAATATTTAATCGTTATCCTGGAGAATATTTCATTTACATTATCTAATTATACATAATAAAAAGTTATTATGCTAATCTTGGGAGCCTTTACATAGTTGCACAAAATGTTTAAAATTTAAAATTGTAGTAATTTATTATCTTTGTTGGTTCTAAGAAAACTTAATATGTACATAGGAATTTCGAGGCTTTGCTCAATTTATCAAATAATTATAAAAATATTTTAATAATCTTGAAGAATTAATTTTACAAAATTAATTATAATTAAATAGATTTTATTTTTATTTTAATAAATTTAGCCTTGTAATTGTATTGATGTAAATTAAAATAAATTTATTATAATGTTAAAAACAAAAATAATTATTTTAATTTAAAAATTATTTCTTCCTTCGTTTAATTAATTTAAATTAAATAAAGATCACAGTGCTGAGGTTTATTCTCTCGATTCCAAAAGAATAATAATAATTTTGAGACAATTTGTTCATTTAATTAATAAATATTTTACTATATTTAAATTTAATTTTATACTATTTATTTATCAACATAACATATGTATGTAGTCATAAAAGATATAAATAGACAAATCATAATTTTATAATTAATCTTTATAAAATTTAAAATACTTTTTCTATTAGTTATTTAATTGAAAATATTTTTTATATAAATCTTTATTTTTAATTATTTATTACATCAATTAAATGTTTATTTAGTTATTATTGTATCTATTGAAGAAAAATTTTTTTTTAATCTTTACATATGTATTTTTAATGAAAATATTTTAAAATTATGTATTTAATTTTGTAAAGAATTTTTAAATATAATTTAAATTTAAATAAATAAAATATTATTTTAAATATTTATTTTATATTGAATTTTTAATTTTGGAAAGAATAAATGAATGGGGAGAGCTAAAAAGAGCAAAATTTCTTTGACCTTGCTGTGTTGTTTGGGAGGAGCAAATTGCTATTTGGTTAGCAAATAATATATAGAATCAATATATTCTTGTCTAGTTTAAAGTCGAGAATTTTCAAGAATTGGAAAATGGAAAGAATTTATAGTAGTGGAAATTTGAAAAAGAGAAATGTGAAAAAATTAAAAATAAATTGGTATAATTTTGATTGCAAATCCAGTTGATTTGCAATCAAGTTTGTAAAGAAATTAAATAGTACTAATTGTAAGTATTCGTTTTTATAGAATGAAGCTATGCTAATCTTTGGTCACTTGTAATACATAATTCCTAATTGTATTTTAATAAAGATTAATTTGTACTATAAATATATTTTAAATGATTTATCTTGAAAAAGGATTATTTAAAATTAAATTTAAAAATACATATCTCTTCAAACAATTAAGTTTCTTAAAACAACCTAATATATTATTAAGTATATTTTTGTTGTTTCCATTAGCAACGAAAGACAAATAGAAAAAAAATTTTTTTTCCAAATCTAAAAAAATTGCCTTAAAATTGAAAAAAAAAAGAATTTCTTTTAAAAATATTTTAAATGTCCTTATTCCAATTTCAAGAATGGTTCTCTGCTACACAACAAAATTCATTCTCCCTTGCTGTAGCAAAAATAATTGGAGAAAGAGGTGTTTTCCTAATTAAAATTTTTGAAATTTATTTTTTGTTTTTAATTTAAAAATTAATTTTTAAATAAAATAATTTATCTGATTAAAAATTAAATTTTTATAAAATTTATTGAGACCAAATAATTGTTGGTTCACTTGATGGAATACTTACAGGTAAAAATATTTTTTAAGATTTATTTCAACAAATAATTTTAATAAAATAAAAATATTATTATTTTTCAGTTTTTGATCCAGGAAGAGAGCCAAACCATCAAAACGAAATGGGAGTACTTTCCACATTACAAATTGGCCGTCCAATTTTGCAATTATCTACCGGATATTTTTTACCTTCTTATGGCCCAGAAACAATAATTATTGTTGCTTTAACCTCTTCAACTTTAATTTATTTTAAAATTAATCAAAATAGTTTGTTGGGAAATTGTTAAAAAAGAAGTTTTTTTTAATTTTTAGCTCAATCTTTATTTGAATGCGAACAAATTTTTGAACATAAAATTCCTGGCCCTCCAGCTTTTAATTTCTGTCAAGGCATAAATAATTTCTATTTAATTCAGATCCCGAGTTTGCATAAATTTTTTAATTTTTATTTTATTTCCAATTTTGAATACTCCTCAATTTTATATAAACTTTTTCCATATCCAAAGATCTAGATCCACTTTATCTCATACCTTACATTTTCATTTTTAGGCTATTTCGGACGAGGCAATGTTGAACAAATTTGTGTTCAATCACTCCAAGGAGGCCTTATCCTTTATGAAGCAGAAAATAGAGTTCTTCAACGCTCAATTCCAGATATTTTACATCCCGGTCCTTTAGGTTATTCCTCCAATTCAGAATCCATGTAAAAATAAATTTATATTTGATAGTTAAAATTTAAAAATTAAAGAATAATTGCTTCTGGTGGTTATTTAAGGTCTGTTAGATATTCTACATTAATTGCTACTGGAACAAAACAAACTTATGTAAAAAGATTTCTTAACTATTAAATAATTATCTATTTAAATCTAAAATCAAAAAAAAAACTCTAACTCTTGCTTTAACTAATAGATTGACTGGACAATACCTCTCGGTGATTGGGCTGTTCAAATGATTATACTTCTCGGTGATCCTTCTGCCTCATTAAACTCTCGCCCTTCTAGTGCCGTTTTCAATTCAAACACAAATTTAAATTCTTCTATTTCGATTAATACAAATGCTCAAAATTCAACAGGGTTTCCACCTTCAATTATTGTTTTATGCAAAAGAATTCTTTATTGTTTTACACACAATGGAAGTTTGAGATATTCTATTAGACTTCAAACTGTTGCTTTATCTTTACATATATTGTCACAAGGTATTTCAAATAACATACCATAAAATCTCTAATATGTAGAATGCCCGGGCACTCTATTTTTTCGATCACATTCGAAAGGGGCATCTATTTGAGGGGGTGGCATTCAACTGGAAGGAAGAATTATACTCGGCTCTACGAATTCTGAATGAGCAATCCAAGTCCTTTCGAATTTTACCACAAAAAGAAAGGAGAAAAGTAAAATAAAGAGGGATAACCGACCGACCTACTTATAAACATAAAAAATAGTTAAATTTTTGTTAATTAATTTAAAATATAATTTAGGTAAAAGTTCTGAAAACAAACTAATTCAACAACAAACAACTTTACCCATTTCTATTATTATTGGAACGGCTGGAAAAACACTATTATTTTATTCTGATACTAAACTAATTTGGAATGTTCAATTACCCTTTGCTGCACAAATTGTTGAAACTTGTACATTTAGGTGTTTTTAATTAATTAAATAATTAAAAATAAAAATTAAATTTCATTTTTACATGGAAGATAATCCAAAACTATTATTTCATAATAGAAATACATAAATTTCAAATACTGTCCACCTCACCTGGAATAAAATGCCATAATGATTAAACTCAATTTAATTCTTATTCTTTTACGTAAACACATCCCAAAACATTTGCACAAATTAACAAGATTAACAAGAATAATAGGAATGTAGAATTTCGAAGTTTTTGAGATTACTTTTGGTTTGAGGTTTTCCAGGATTGAGTGGATGGGAAGGAGAGAGAGTTACAGTTTTTGTAAAAAATATTGGAATCAAGTCAGGTCGAGGCGTAAACTCTTACTTTTTAATCTCTATTTAATATTTTCAACAAAAATTTATTAAAGTGATTCACTTCGTTCAATGATTGTTTTATTGTCAGAAAATTCCGATAAATTACTTGTTGGATATTTAGGGACAGAACCCTCATTATTTAAAATGCCAGCATCAGAAACTCGTTTTATAGATTTTGAAGAAAAGAAAAAAGAATTGAGGGAATTCGAAAAAATAATTTTTTTAAGTGGAAGGGAAGGAGAAAATAAAGAAGAACTAAATAAAATATTTAATTTTGAAGTTTTTATCGACAAAAATTCAAATTCATTTAATTCTAATGAAGGAATTAAATCGGCAACAATTCAAATTAATTTTAATAACGAAGAAGGAAATAAAATAAATGGAGAATTAATATTAAATAATTTAAATAATTTGTATTGTTTACAAGGAAATCAACAAATATTGAAGGAAATTGAAAAATGTTAAAGTTTGAAAAATTAATTAAAAAAAAACACATGTACAGTTGTGGACAAAGGACAGAAATAAGCGAACTGAGAATTACCTATTTTCTCATTTAAAATCCATTTTAGGGAAAATTTTTTGTTTTATTAGGTACTCCCTTTAATTCTCTATTTAATGAGTAAAAGATTTGCCAGTTATTATTTTTTGTTACCAAGCCCAAATTTAAATAAATAAGTTCTGCTAATTTGCGAAAAACAAAAGGTTTTGTCCCTATTTTGTCCCTTTTCCGACAATCCCGGAGAATTGGGGTCCCTGCGAAAATAAAGTTTAAAAATAAGAAAAAGGGGTTTTTTAGGGTAAAAAAATATGCTGATTACGAATCTGAACTCAGATTTTGAAAAAGTCGAATCCCAAACCCGAATATAGGCCCTCGAATATCGAAAAACCATAGGGGGGACCAAGCTGATTATGGGGTGAAAAATTCGAATATGCAAATAATAGCTTATTCGAAAGAGCTCTTCAAGCTGAGTCGAATGACACCAAAATCATCGTGATTGAACAAGATCGGACGAAGTTATAACAGAGAAAACAAACAACGTGAGCCTAAGTTTTTGTGTCATAACTTTGGCCAAACTTGAACAATCGAGCTGATTTTGATGTCATTCGACTCAGCTCGTCGAGCTCTTTCGAATGAGATATTATTTGATCAATTTGCGCTCTGTTTATTATTCGAAATTTTTCCGAAAATGTCAAATGTTCGAATTTCGGGTTTGGGATTCGACTTTTTCAAAATCTGAGTTAAGATTCGTAATCAGCATATTTTTTTACCCTAGAAAACCCCTTTCTCTTATTTTTAAACTTTTTTTCGCAGGGACCCCAATTCTCCGGGATTGCCCCTTTTCCTATTTTAAGTCCTTAATTAAGTATTCACTCAAACAAAAAAAAATCTTCAAAAATTCGAGTAAATATATTGATGATAATAGGAGGAAATAAAAGGCTCAGGGTTCCATTAGAAATTAAAAATTTATTTTAAAACAAATCTAATAATACTTTTTAGTTTATTCATTTACTCTTTTCTGTCATGAAAATACTGTTTTGAATAATAAAATTCAAATACTTTTAATTATTGAAGGTTAATTAATTAATTATAATTATTAAACTTTAAAAATTATTTTCTTGTAGGAGAATATAATTTAATTGAATTATTTATTCCTTTATTTTTAATTTGCCGTGAAGTCCCTCCCCAAAGACAGGCAATATTTAAACTTTCAATAGATTCAACACAACCAGCTTTAGATATTGATATTTTATTTCCAGAATTTTCAAATCAAAAAGAGGAAATTGGAAAAGTAATTTTTAAAAAAAATTTTAAAAAAATAAAAAAAATTTTCTTTGAGGAAATTTCAAATCAAAATAATCTAGTAGTTGAAGGTAAAAGAACATCAATTGCTTTACAACCATTTTTTGGAGAATCTAATACAACTGTTTCTCTATTTATTTCAACAAAAACAAGTTTTTTTCCCCTAAAAATATTTTTTGAAAGAAAAATATTTTTTAGATCGTTATAGAATTCAATCAGACAATACAGATTTTGTTTTTGTTATATTTTCTGTTTTAATTGAAAGAATTCAAAAAAATCAACCAGAAGCACGGCTTCATTGCCCTGTACCTTTACATTTATGTTTAACTGAAATAGCTAAATATATTGAGGTAATTAATAAGTAAATATTATTAATAAGTAAATACTTATTTCTTATTAGACACCCCCACTAATATTTTGGCTTCTTTTAAAAGTTCATAAAGCCATCTAAAATTTGTCAGAGAATTTTATAAAAAATATTTTTAATAATAATTTTATTTCTAAAAAAGGCCGAGGAAGAATGTGCCAATTTAGAAAAACAAGCTAGTATTTTAGCTACACAAATGCGTCAAGTAGAAACTGTTTTTCTTAGTCGATTAAAGGCTTCTCAAAATGAAAATATAATGGAAAATTATGAAAGGATGCCTGTTGAAGCACTTGTTGAATATAGCCATAAGTAAATTTTATTTTAAATGATATAAGAATTAAAAATAGTAAGGAAACAAAATTTTGAGGCATTTCTAACCTAAAAAAATTTAATTTTTTTCAAAGAAAGATCGTTTCTAAAACTATTTTGGAAAACATTTATTTTTAAATTAATTTGTAGAGAACTAATGAAAACTTTGGATCAATTAAATTCAATTTCACAAAGCCAGTTAAACACAAAAAAGAGGAAATCACTTGGATCTCTTCTTAATTTAATGAATTCAACTCTTAAATTAAATAGTATACAATTGCCTTTTGATGGAAGAATTTTAGAAGGAAGTGATTTGGTAAAAATAAATAAATTTGGAGATAGAAAAAAATATATTTTTCAGACTTTAAGTGAACAATTATCTCAATTACTTAATTCACAAACAGAAATTAATAAAAAATTAAATTCTGCTGAAATTGGACGTCTTTTAACGAATTTTTGTGAAAGAAATGAAGGAAATTTGGGAGGAATTGTTGAAGAGGAAGATGAGGAGGAGGAAATGGAAGAAGAAAATGAAATAAATAAAGAGGAAGAGAAGAAAAAAGAATTAAATGAGGCTTTAATTAAATCTGAGGAATTTATGGAATTTGTAGAATTACAAAGTGGATCGTTACAACAAGAAGGAAAATTGGATGATTTATAACAAAAAATATCTGAATCTTGTATATTTTTTTAAAGAATATAAATAAATTGTGAATAACGCATATAGTCTTATGCTTACACAAAGATAGCGCTTATTGCACAGAAAGGATAATTTTAAAAAAAGGGGGAGGGGCAGAGTTTCACGCGATTTTTTTAAATTTAATTTTACGTAACAATGGCGTTTAGGACATAAACTTGTTCAAAAATTCTCAAAAAGTTTAAGACAGAAGTTAAAATTTCTCGAAAATGTCAGACTAAACCTTTTAATTTAAAAAGAATTCTTTAAAAGTCCAATTTAAAAAAAAAATAAAAAAATACTTTTTTAACATTCATCTTCAAAATCATCTCTTTCATTATTATATAACTTAACATGTTTCTTAATTTTCGAATCTCTTGCCCAAGTAATTTGATCAGATTGTGTACGAGTAACAAGAAATGCAGGATCAGTAACTAATTCAATTCCAACACGGATATGGCCTTGTTCAACAAATTGACTAGCTTTTTGGATCTAAAAAAGAAACTAAAGAACTGATATAAAATCCCGATGAGTTATTGGAAATAAAAATTTTTTGGTTGAATTCAAACGAAATTAAAAAATTGTCTCGTCTAAATTGCCTGTGGTGAGATTTTCGGATGCACCCCATCCAGGTAAAAACTAATTTTACAGTAAGGAACATTTACTACATAATACCCAATAATAAAATTTGAAAAAATAACCGTTGTTGCCATTTCTGCTTTATATAAAACAACAGGCAAACGTCTTCTGCAAAAGGACGAAGCTGTTACACCTTCACAGCGCTCCAAAGTATCCGCCGTTTCAATAAGGCCCATATCATATAATTTTCCAAGTAAACGACGAGCAAATATTAATTTATTTGGATTTTTGTCATCCAAATCACGAATTCTTTTAGCTATTTCTCGTACCTGAATTTAAATTTCATAATTAAGAAAAATTGGCTTCCCACGCTAAAATTACTTGTTCTCCAATAAATGGAATCCAAATTAATCGCAACCACAAACTCCTCAAAAATTTTCATCGAAAATTAGAGTTGAAAGTTTGGAAAATGCCGGACCCGTTTCGGGATTTTTGAATTTTTTATCCAGACCGGATTATCGCAGACAAACCCCAAAAATCCCGATTTATCAAAATACTAGGATAGGGACCACCAGATCCCGAAGATACGGTCCGGGTTTCAACTCTATTAAAAATCAACAAACCTCTCTAGATAATTTATTATAAATTGTGTAATGTTCTCTCTTCTCAACATGATATCTTCTCATTATTTTATTTTCATGTAAGCTATTATCCACCTCTGGCCAATGAATAAAATCAACTTTTTTGAGAAGTTTCTTTTCATGATATTTTAATTTACGAACCATTTTTCTATTTAAAATAATTTTTAAAAAATTAAAATAAAAAATAAATTAGGATGTATAACAAATAAAAACTGAAAAAAATATACAAGAAATCATTTTACAATTAAACAGTTTTAAATGGCATACATTTAAGATGAAGCAATCAAAATAAAATCATTTTAGAAAAAAGTAGAAATATTCGAATAAAGTAAAAATTTATTTTTTTATTATTTCTGTGTTATTTTTAAGGTATAGTTTAAATTTATTAATTTTTCAAAGAAATTAAAGGCACACACAAGATGTAAAATTGTAAATATAAATTCTAATTAAAGATGACGATTAAACACAAATATCGGTAATATTAAACCGGACAGACCCCCTTTTTTCCTCTATATTTTTACAAAATGGCCATATTTTTCCTTTCTTCCATCCAAATTGCCTTTCTAATTTTTGCCTAGAATCAATCAAAAAGGATTATTTAATTTTATACAAGTGCAAGTACATGCCAAAAAGAAGGAAAGGAAGATTATTTTTTGGTATTTAACAAGTATGAGAGTTTTGATTGCTTGTAGGCAAAAATTATTATAGAACGCCAATTTGTATGGAAGAAAGGAAAAGGTCTGACCATTTTGCAAAAATATAGAGGAAAATTGGGGAGGAAAAAAGAGGTCTGTCCGGTTTAATATTACCCAAATAGCATTAATAAAAATTATTCGTCGTGATTCGTAAATTTGCTAAAAATTAGAATTTATCTAGGGAGCCTTATTTTCTTTAAGAAAAAATTAAAAATCAAACTGAAAATCTTACAAATGGGAAAATCAATAAATTTTCTATATTCCTCTACAAACGTTTAAAACGTTTTGAAACAAAATCAAATGATCCACTGCATGGAGATCCACCCCCATTAGAAGAATGCAAATGTCGTTTCCGATGACGATGAACTTGATGTTGAAGGAAATTTCCAAGGCCAATATTTCGATGGGGTGAAGGACCCGTGAAGGGTGAATTGCTGCTATTAGACAGTGGATCAAGCACCTTAAAGAAAATAAAAACAATTAAAAAATCTTCGTGAAAATTAAATTTTATGGAAATTAAATAAAGAACTTCGGTTTCAAAATACGAACATTCGAAAATCGCAAAATCAAGAGACAAAAATATTTAATATGCAAGAGACTGTTTTTGTGCCGCTATTGATTTTGAGGGTAGGCAAATATTTCAAGGCCTAAATGGAAACACATCAACCGTTGATAAAGAAATCATAGATATCTATGATTTTTTACTTGAAAAACAAACGACACTATTACCGGACCTACGGTCATCTACATAATATTTTAAAAGAAACCTCTTGAAATAGAAAGACTGCCTGTTGAGTTCCGCCAGCTGGGTGTTCGGCCGATGGAATTGCTGCTGTCGCGATATTGGGTTGTTCATTTCCACGCTGTTGTTTGGCTCCAAAAGCGGCAGTTGGCAACAAATCATATTTAGATAATAAAGCAATAATATCTGCTACATCAATCTAAAATTTAAAAAAAAGAAACATTTAATTCATTTTAAGCAAAAACTTTGTTTTTGTAGCGACACATTGCAGAAATTTCTCGAGAAAGAGCCAAACGACCTTTGAGAAAACCACGATCAAAAGAACGTTTTTTCATTTCCAGTCCATGCTAGAAAATAATTAAATTTTGTGTTTTATAGTTAAAGATAAAGTTATCAAAAAAGTTATATAGTAGAAAGAGATATCTTTTCTTGAAAAATCGTGTAAATTAAGACAGAGGTAGCAAAGAATGTGCGAGAAAGGAAATAACAGTTCTAACTAAGCATTACGAGCCCGCAAAAATTAACCATAAAAGTTTTCCAAAAATAAGATCCAAGAACTAACAATAAGATGTTGATAACAAAATTTAGCAAAAAATGTATTTAAGATTATGTTTTTAATGTTCTAATTTTTTTAACCTTGAAACATAGTGTTTTCGAAAGGTATACACTTTGATGTGTATAAATGTAATATTTTAGAAAGAACTAAACAAAACCTTAAATTCATTTTTTAACCTTATAAAGCTGGGTCGTTGAAGCAGCCGCAGATTGAAGCGTTCGCCAATTGGAATTTCGATAAAGATGAGTAACTTGACAAAAATTGTAAATTTCAAGCTTCTTTATAGAAAAACCTGAAGTAGCACAAGTCTCAAATTCATTCCAAAGTCCATCATCAGAAGAATCCTCATCTGGCAACGATTCATTTCGATTGCTTTCAGACATTAGTATGAATACTGTATATATTCTTTAAACTCGCCACTTAACTAATTTTTAACCCTGATAATATACCTGGAATTAAATTAAAATTAAAAGTATAAAGAAAAAAATGACAACAAAAATCAAGCAAGAAAACAATAGATTGCAAAATAAAAGAAAATTTGGGGTACAGCCCAAGTAGGCGCGCGGCCAAGTAGGCGCAAAGCCATAACTTGCTTCAAGATTTCCGAATCTTTCCTAATTTAGTATTAAACGATTCCTCTCATCAAACTAAAGAGATTGGTACCAAAATTGATAAGGGTTGGAAATTTTCTAGCAAGTTACGGCTCTGCGCCTACTTGGCCACGCGCCTACTTGGGCGTGTCCCGAAAATTTGGGTAGGGGACGACTCAGAGCCGCCGATTCAGAGTCGCCGATTCAGAGTACGGGGAAAAGGGGACAATTCAGAGTACGAAGAATAAAATAGTATCTAAAATCGAGATTTTTGGAATGCAATTGATTTATTATTTTGCTTTTTATCTTTTTTGATTCCTTTTACTGTTTTAGAGAGATAAACAACAATTTGCACAACCAAACACAATTACTCAATGCCACAAAATAATTTTTAATAAAAATTTAAAATTTTTAAAATTTTTCGGTTTTGTTTAGTAAAATCGGTTTGTTAGTAAAATTATGAAATGGTGTTGTTATATTATAATGGTATAAATAATCTGTAAAGAAACAGATGAAAACAATTAATTGACTTGAATTACATATGTCAAAAAGTCAGCAAGACTCTTTTGTCTTTACATTTATTTTCAGTCTCAGCACAAACCTAAACCTTTAGGTTTGCTTGTCAATAGAGTCTCGGCGACTTAGCATCGAAACGCCTTTTTCTATGCCATAACTTTTTTTATTTCGATCATTTCCAGAAATTTTCTTTATCAATTAGAATCTATATTTGTTTTTATTCTTTTTATTAACTTTATGAAAGGATCCGATCATTTCTTAGAAAGTTACACCCGCCTAAGTATGTTAAATCACGATTATTCGCAGTTAACGGCTCCTAACTTTTTTGAAAGACGGTAAAACTAAACATTTTCTTTGAAAAAATAACCAGCACATCCAGAGCTTTTAATTAAAGCAAAAATTATTTGGATTGATTTAAAAACAAAAAAGTTATATCCCAAAAACTTTCGTTTTGATGCCATATTTTAAGACTCTTTCGTTACCTGGTTACTTTTAGTCTAAACCTTTTGAAGCCTAAACCTTTAGGTTTTTGGACATTTGAGTCTCAGCACGCCCCCAAATTTTCTTTATAGTTTTGGCTTTTTTTATCGTTTGGTCTTCTTAATTGGTGTATAAAGTAGAGACCTGCGCGGGACGGGATCCCGTCGGGATTTTCCGGGATCCCGAAATCCCGGATTTTTTGATTTTCGGGATCAACCGGGATCCGGGATTTTTTCGGGATTTATCCCTCGAGATCCCGTCCCGGCATCGGTTAAGAAAAAAATCCCGACTCGGGATCCCGGAAGTGCGATTTAGGTGCGATTTAAGTGCGATTTAGTGTGTAATTTTTAAACATTTGAGTCTCACCACTCTTCAATTTTTTTTTAATTCTAGCTTTTTTAATCGTGTGTTCTTCTTAATTAGTGTATAAAGATGAACTCGAACTGATATTCTGGTAATAGAAATCCCATAAATTAAGAATCACATATGTAGATAATTTTTGAATTTATTTGTGAATTCCTTGGAGAATTTCATTCCCATCTCTAAATTTAATTTAGTATTTTACTCATAAAATTATTTTCCGCCATTGAATAATTGCCGTTTGTTGTCCAAATTGTTTTTTTTCTCCCTAAAACAATAAAACGAAACAGAAAAGAATAAAAAGCAAAAAAATAAATCAAGTGCTTTCCAAAAATCTGGATTTACAGGGTATTTTATTCTATGTACTCTGAATCGTCCCCTTTTCCCCGTACTCTGAATCGGCTACTCTGAGTCGTCCTCTATCCTACCTGAGTACGAGACGAAAAAATTATGCAGGTCATAGGACTACCGGCCATCATGCTCTACACAATTACAAAAAAACTTATTTTAGCAGCCTAAACTAGTGGGTCCATAGTTAAATGGAGTAATTGTATATTTCATATTTCGAGTTTAACATTCCAAAAAATGTTTATGGTTTTTTATCTTATATAAGAAAAAAATACAAATTAATTGCTTATTTTTAATTTTTTAATACATATAGTCGGACCTCGTTTTTAAATATCCTTTGTTTCTGAAAGAATCATATTTAAAAGATTTTCTATAAACGAGATCCTTTGTAATAGATTTATTCATAAAAATAGTTTGGAAATTTGTGAAAATGTAAAAATAATTCGTTTATAATAATAGAAGTAAATTATGTATTATTAGCAGGGTTCGTTTTTTGGTAGGTCGATGAGGATTATTTTTAAAAATGCGGATTGCGGATTTCCGATATAAAATGCGGACATTTTAGATCAAAACTGCGGATTTTTAAAAATTTGAGATACGAACTCTGATTATTAGGTTGAGCAAAATCAAGAAGAAATACTACAGAAACTAACTACTGTATGTGATCAAATTTGAGAGGAAAATATTTTAAAGTTTTTGAGGGAAATTATAATTTATTTTTTAATTATTATTAATCACATACATAAAAAATAACTTAAAAAATTAAAAATCTTAATTATTTATATATTTTCTCCTTAATTTATTGCTGCAAAAATATTTTTCCATTTTGTTTTTCTTCTCATTTTTTTTAAAAAGTCACTGCTCTAGGTGATGTATCTATATTTTCCTGCATTCCTCCAACAACTATTTGTTGTTGTTGTTCTTCTGTTTCAATTCCAAACGGATCTGCTACATTCTCTGTTGAAGATGTCGATGTTTCCATTGTTGGATTATTAACTTCAAAATGTTCAGTATTTCCATTAGAAACGGAGCCGGTATTCAGAAAACGTTGATGTAATTTTTTAACTAAATCCATATGTGGGGGTTCCATTCCAAATTCTGCTCGATATCTAAAAAATTAAAATATTTTCTTTTAATTAATCTCCACACCTTCTCGCCACTTGTGCAAAAGAATTTGTCTCTTCAAACCAACAAACTAATTTTGCCTTTTCTAAAACACTAAGTACACGTACTCCAGTCGAGAATGCTGAACGAGTTATATAGTGCACCATTTTAATTTTTTAAATAAATTTTTATCTAAAAAAAATAATTTTTTGTTAATTTATTTTTTAAAAATAAATTATTTTTATTTAAAGAGCAAAAAACTTCTAAAAAAATTAAGGACAAGTAAACGTAATGTTCAAAAAACTGTAAATAAAAAATATATTTAAGTGTACACACAAAAATAGAAAAAAATGGAAAACTCGTGCTATTTTCCTCTATTTTGATGGAAAAAAATAAACTATTTTTTCTTATATTTTGATAGATTGGAAAATAAAAAAATGAGAGGGAAGGAAGGAATAAATAAATTTGTGTTGGTTTTAACTAAATTTTATTTTAAATTAATTGATATTTAAAAAATAATAATTTAAAAATTTGTAAAGCTTATATTTCCATTTTTATTAAAAACTTTAAGATATTTTTTTAATTAAAATATTTTTTTAATATTTTTTTTAATTTTTTTAATTTTATATTTTTTTAATTAAAATGTATGAAAGTTTAATTTAAAACAATTAATTATTTAAAAGAGACAGCTGCTTTATTGGTGCAAAAAAAGAAAAAATACATATGTACATATACCAAAATTTATCTTTTATTTTATAAAACTTCTTTCCTCAGAAAAGAGAAAATAATATTTAAAAGAATGTGATACTTTTATGTATTTCCTATAAAAACTTTAAAAATTAATTTAAAAATATTTAAAGAAAATAAAAATAAAATTATTTTTAAAAATTATTGAACTTTAAATTTTATAGTAAAAAAGGTGACAATTATGTTTGCTTGTTGTAGTAATTTTTTTTAAATGTTTTATTTTTTAAACTAAGAAATAATGAAAGAAAAATTAAATTGATTAAAATAATTTGTTAAAAATAAACAGTACATTTTAAAAAAAACTGTTAAATTAAAAAGATAAAATCATTTAAAGAATTATAAACTAAACATTAATAAATTTGTGTTGACGAATGAAAGAAAAAAAAAGATAAGAATTAAAAATAAATAACGTGTAATACATAATTGTTAATGGACAATAAAAAATAATTATTTTTTAAAATGCAACATTAAATGTAAGGAGTTGGATAGATTTTTAAAGTAATTTAACAATAAAATATCTTTGAAGATAATATACTAGGGTTTCTCCTAAAATATACTAAAATACTAATGTTACACCCCCCCCCCCCTCACGTTCAGGGGAGTTTATGGATCAGTTTCACTCAATTTGCTTTTGACAATACCCCTCTAAACCTTCTACTTTCAAGTGTGGTCTATTAATTGAAGAATCTAATAGGCTAAAAATTAATTAAATAAAACAACGAAATTTTTTAGTCGATTTTTAGCCTTATTTTAGTCGAATTATACATATTTTTGCTTTTTTCGAGACGAGAAAAAACCTGACCACCCAAAGGACAACAACTGTCCAATACTTTCTAAAATTTTGTTAATATAATGAATGAATTGAATACTTTCAATTCATTTTATATAATTATTTCTTTAGAAGAATGGGGGGTGGAGACTCCAAAGAATATGAAAATAAATCAAAAAAGCATTCTTTGTGCTCCCCAATATGACCATATTTGGAAGGAAGGAAATATAGAAAGATTTTTATAAAATATTCTTTGCTCTTCCACCAATTTTGATTGTTCTAATAAATAAATAAATGGTTGTTGATTGTAAATAATCAATCATGATGATGAAAACGTGTATGAAAACGTGTACTTACATAATCTTGCAAAAATTTGAAAATAAATTCTTGACTTTGTAGAGAAAAATAGAAAATAAAAATTAATTTAAAAACGAGCGTTAGGACGCCGCTTCGCGGCGTCCTAACGCTCGTAAAACACCTAATTTTT